GGATCTTGAACAGAGGTGGGTGACTTCCTTAAGCCCCAAAAGAACCTCTTAGTGGCTGTTTGAGAACTATTTCAGGGCTGTTAGCAGGTTGCCACAAAACACTGGCCGGGTACTTACACATGCAGCACGGTCCAGCCCTAGGCTCTTGAAATCAAACACCTGATTAGAAACAAACAAGTATAATATAATGTTGAACTTATCAGTCTGACTTATCAGCCATGGTATAGTGTTTTTCTCATAACAAATCAACGAACAATACTTTTTAGCCTAGCTTTTCAGCGAAGCGAATAGGTTGAAATACATATAGCAGTAGTAACTCGTTAGCATGGATTTAATATACCGGTGTCATGCATGCTTATTCACATATGCTGGACGTATGGATGCAAAAAAACCCTCTTAATAAATATGTAGTGCTATAGATTGATATGTGTGGGCTTGTAGACAAGCCTGCTTTGAATTGGGAGTCAATTTTGGAGTGAGGGTCAGCAATTTCCTTTCATTGGTTCCAAGTCCAAGCTTGGTTTAGGTTAAGAAACGATTGGGATTGTTCACAGAAGAGACAGAGGGGAAGCCATTAAACAAAGTTCAAATGATTGACTCATAAGAGCCCAATTAGACGCTCCCCAAATCACAGCATTTTAGGGCAACTCCAACCAAGCCCTCAAAATTTGGCCCCCTACTCCCACAAATAAGGACCCCTCATCCAGATTCCAGCCCTCATTTCTCCCTGTTCTCCAACCGAACTCTTATTTTAGGCTCCCTATTTTCTCTCACCTATATTTTATACATAACCTGTAACTACCAAGTCCAGCATTTTATATCTAAACTGTGTTAGTATTATTGGAATGGATATCTGTTAATGACAATTTTGTACGGCTAAATATTGGAGGAATTGTTTTTTCAAATAATTTACAACTATATTTTTTTATTTGTCAGTCTTAGAACGGCTATATATTTGAACCGACACTCTTCCAACGGCTATAAATCAAATGGTCGTTCTTCCGATGGCTATAAATCAAACGATCACTCTTCCAACGGCTATAAATCAAACGGTCGCTCTATCTGCAATGGTTATATTTTTCCGTCTATATATATGTATGGCCATTCCCTTTCCTAAACCAATTCCAACATTGTGCTACTTCTTGTCCACTGAAAATAAGTCGTCTCTTCTGACTAGATTCATCTTCTTCATCTGATGACGGTGATGATGCTCTTGAGGAAATCCTTACTGTGTTACACCAAGCACACACTCAATATCAAGCTCTCCATGCTCTACGATGGGGTGGTTCTGTACCTAGGCGTCATTACATTTATCGGGACAGAGAAAGTGGGCATTGGAGGTTGTACAATGACTATTTCTCCGAAAATCCAACCGACGGGCCACCTTTCTTCCGGCGCATGTTTGTTAATAACCTGTTAATTTTTATGTACCTTCTTTATCCGCATTCCTATGTCCATGTTTGCTTAGTTTGGATTTGTCCCTCAGGTTTAGGATGTCTCGTACGCTATACCTTCGCATAGTGCAAGCTGTAGAGCAACATGATAATTACTTTGAGCAGAAAAGAGATAGAGTTGGACGTCTTGGGTTATCATCTTTGCAAAAGATTATTGCAGCTTTTTTATGCTTAGTTATGGAGTACCGGCTGATTTCATGGATCAATATATTCGTATTGATTAAAGTACTGTCATAGAAAGCCTTAGAAGATTTGTCACAACAGTTGTTGACGTGTTTGGAGAGGAGTACCTGAGATCCCCTAATGAGAATGACACAAGTAGATTACTTGCAATCGGGCAGCGGAGGGGCTTTCCTAGAATGCTTGGGAGTTTGGATTGCATGCATTGGAGGTGGAAGAATTGTCCTAACCCATGGCGCGGGCAATATACTAGGCATGAGTATGAGCCTACAATAATACTCGAAGCTGTTGCATCACATGATCTTTGGATTTGGCATGCTTTTTTTGGTTTATCAGGGTCACACAATGATATCAATGTTCTTCATCGTTCCCATCTATTTGCAAGGCTAGTCGAAGGAGATGCCCCAGAAGTTAATTTTACCATTAACGGTAATAATTATACAATGGGGTACTACCGTATAGATGGCATGGACGACATTTGTGAAGACCATAACAAATCCCCAAGGGAACAAGAAGAAATATTTTGCCAAGGCACGAGAAGCGGTTAGAAAGGATGTGGAAAGGGCTTTTGGGGTTCTTCAAGCTCAATTTGCCGTATGTGGGATAAAGCGACACTTAGACAAATAATGACAGCTTGTGTCATCATGCACAACATGATCGTTGAAGACGAGCAAAGTGAAGATGAAGACAAAGACGTCCACTACGAGGGTGTCGGCCAGCTTGTGAGACCTACTCCACCTAAAGTTCATAATCGTACACGAGAGTTCCGTGAATTCCTACAATCTCATCACAATATCACAAACAGGCAAATCCACACCCAATTTCAGCAAGATCTTATCAAGCACCTCTGGTAGCATCACCCGAACATGTATCAGTACTGAACCTTCATATCCACGTAGTCTTGTACCATCTATTTTTTCAATCATGTATCAGTCGTGTATCCTTCAATCATGTATCAGTGATGTACCCTTCAATCATGTATTAGTCATGTACCCTCTATCTTACCAGTAGAGTACCTTCTATTTTATCAATCATCTGCGCACACAAATTTGGCACAAATTGTTCTTACAGAGTTTCATGGATAACAAACATACCGGTACATGATTTAAATAAACATAGTCTATAGTGCACACACAAAAGACAAATAAACACGATGCTTCTAGTTGCCACCACCACAACGTCGAGCAAATATCTTTTGTCGCTCACTCATACCATTAAGGTCAATGTTCATAACTTTCTCATCATCTTCTCTCTGTTTCAACTCTATTTCTCGTTACATTAAATCTAGCTTCCTATTCGCTACTTGTTGCTTGATTTCAAGCCTTCTAGTCTCTACCGCAAGCCTCTCATCGTTACGCTCTTTTTTCTTAATCTCCCTCATCTCTTCGGCCTTTTCTCTCTTTGTCCATAATTTTTTCATTGCTTCCATGTAAAGGTCTTCTCCTTGAGAGTTAGGATTTTTATCTCTGCGTGCTTTCTCCTTCTTCTTACCATCTGGCCTTCCTTTCTTTGGTGATGTATGACTTGGTCCGTCCTCTTCATCAGCATACTTACTTTCATGAGTTCTAGGTGTATATGACCCTGGACTTATGGTTGGGGAAATCTTGTGTTTTTCTGAGAGCTTTGAGAGGTCTCACAACCTAGATCAGCCCACTTCTGCTCATGTTGCAGCTTATTCCAGCAGTGCATGAAAATAAATGGTTTCTCCTCCGGATCTTTTTTCTAGTATAATTCATTTGCCCGTTCTATCTGCACAAGAAACATGTGTTGGCTATCATACACAAAAGATATATATTTTCAATCAATTAACAGAATTAAACAACTTACCTTATCTTGCTCTATCAGCCCGCTTTCTCTTCTATTCTGAACTTGAGTATACCATCCACAAAATCTATTAACACTTTTATGGATGATACCCCAACGGTGTGAGAGAGAACTGATATTAAGCTCGGACTCAAAAGTCTTGTGCTCATGATAATAATCATGAATTCGCTTCCAATAGGCACTACGAGTTTGATCAGTGCCTTGAACCAGATCCAAGCTAATTTCTAGCCATGCTTTCACCAACATATTGTCTTCCTGGGGAATGAAATTTCTAGTCCTCTTCTTACTTGGTTTCGGGGGGGGGGAGTACAATGTTCAGCAACTTGTTCAACATGTGTTTCAACTTTAAAGTCATCAAAAGATAGATCATTGGTGTCCCCATTGCCTGAGAGCAAATCAACATAACTCTGCATTGGTGTCTCCATTGCTTGAAACTAGATCAACCCAACTCTGAATAATTCTAAGAACACGCAGAAATCAACTTGAACAACTAAATGTTAAGACCTTAATCTGTCTACAACAACCAGATAATACTCAATAGGTCTAAAAAATCTCATGAATTTGAGATAAGTTCTACTAAAATTTTGACCATCTCATAATCGCATAATCTACATAACCTTCTCCAGCTATTAAATAAATAAAAAAGGCCTAATTGACACCTACAACGCATCAAGGGGCAAGCTGCAGTGGGTCGTTCTTCACCTATTAAACAAATCTAAATCCAGAGCGAAATGCGGTGGCCGTAGCAAAGAAGTAAAGGCGACACAGAGTGGCCACAAGCACCAAGGGGCCTAAGAAGACGTCTGTAACTCCGGAGGCCGCAAAGCATGGGGAGCGAAGACGACGATGGCTCCGAAGTTTCAAGCAAGAAGAAGTCGCAAAGCTTCGGGTGAAGTGGAGGAGAGGCGGCGGCGCAGCAAATAGGGCGAGATCCATGTGCCTTGGCACAAGTGTGCACAGTGGCAATGGGCAATGTAAAGGATCTACGCAGCACGTGAGTGGCGGCGGCGCCATGGGCGACGCCAAAACGAGAAGAGGGGATGTGGAACGGCTCGGAGGGGGGGGGGGACGACCGTTGGTCTTCTTCGGCGGATGAGGCTGCGGATCTGAGTCCCTCGTATGTGTGTGTGTGGGTGGGGGGACAAGGAGAGAGAAATGAAACGTCTTTATCCTTTGGGCATCCGATAGAAAACCGGTTTCCTTCGGGGATCCGATAAAAAACCGATTGAAGAGCTGTCTTTGTGTTTTGAACTCTCGAAATAAGACGAGGCAGGGATAAAACGTTGGTTGGAGTTGTCCTTGTTACAACAAACAGCTCACGCCCGTACTCGTACTCCCCGACTGCTCGCTTCGCTTTTTATCACTTCTTCCTTCTCGAACCACAAACGAACACCTCCTTTTAATACTCTCCTCTCTCTCTCTCTCAACCATCACCTCCAGTCCTCCACCTCCCACTCGCCCAAATCGGGAGGAGGACAAGGAGACGACGAATTAAAGCCTCGCCTCCCGTCCCCCGGCCCCCCCCCCACTTCGTCGCCGGCGATGGCCGCCGACGGCGAGGCCGCCGGCGCGTACCGGGAGTTCAAGGCGCTGTCCGAGGCGGCGGACCGCAAGTTCGCGCGCGCGCGGGACCTGCCGCTCTACGGCGGCGGGGACCACCACAGCCGGAAGGCGTTCAAGGCCTACACGCGGCTCTGGCGCCTGCAGCAGGACCGCCGCCGGGAGCTCGTCGCCGGCGGCCTCCGCCGCTGGGAGATCGGCGAGGTGGCCTCCCGGATCGGCCAGCTCTACTACGCGCGCTACCTCCGCACCGCCGAGCCGCGCTCGCTCGTCGGCGCCTACGTCTTCTACGAGGCCATCTACAGCCGCGGCTACTTTGGCGCCGCGGTTGCGGGGGCGGACGGCGGCGGCGGCGGCAGCAGCCGGCACCAGGCACTCCTGATCCGGTACAAGGAGCTTCGGTTCATCGCGCGGTTCCTCGTCGTGGCCATGCTGATGCGGCGGCCCGAGGCGGTGGACCACCTCGCCGGACGCTTACGTGCGCTCGTCGAGGAGACGAAGGCCGCGTACCCCGTAAGAAGCATGCTTCTCTTGCCCTCTTGTTAATTGGGGAACCTGAGTGAAATTTACGAGGCGTGTTTTTGGCTGCACATTTAGGGTCCTTTAGCCCTAAGGAGATGATTTACTTTTAATTTAGCGGGGAAGAGTTTGCTTCTCTATTCATGTTGCAAGGTTTTTCTATTCTCATTGAGTTGGAGGAACCTCCGCATTGGATATTTTGAGTTCATCTGCTTCTCAGTCAGGGTTTTTCTATTCGCGTAATTGGCTTGTTCAGTGTGAGTTAGCATTTTGGGGCTGTTTGGATTGGACCCTGGCCTGGGGGCTACCGCCTAGGCATGTTGATCTGACCCCAGGCGTGGGAAATCGACGGCCTGGAGGTGCTGCCTGGCTTTATTTTCCTTTGTGTTCCGGTCTTACTGAACTTGTTGTCATGATTTTGCTTCCTTGTGCACACCCTAGTTGCAGTAGATAATAAGCGCCGCATTTTATTGTGGAGATTAGCGGCAAACAGGGAGCATCGGGAGTCAGCAGGGTGCAGCTAGAAGCTTGTTTTGGTTTCTATTTGTTACCTGCTAAACTGGAGGCAGCAGATGGGTTTTTGTCTGCTGGTTCGGTTATTCCAAGGCGCCTCTGAATACAAACAACGGAGCTACTAGAACAATGGTTCAAGCGAAATTGACTGTTGGGAACATAACAACACCTGATGCTTGCAGTGCTTAATTGAAGAAAATGAGATATATGCCTGATGTTCATATAATGAATATTTTCTATCCTAAACAAAAGATGGACATTTTGGAAGTTATGATGTTTGTAGTTTGTTTGCGTGTTTCTTAATTTTTATTCCAGTTCATTCATATAAATATGTGCATACTACCATCTACTTCTACCCTGATGACAACATTGTGACCTTGTACATTTTAGAAAACAAACTTCAAGGAATGGAAGCAAGTGCTTCAAGAACTTGGCAGATTTTTTAAGGCTGATCGAGCATACAAAGGATCTAGATCACTAAGATATGACAACTTGTTTGATTCTTATCCATCAAACCTTGCATCTGTTGCACGATTCCATTCAAAAAGGGTGCTGAAACTGAAGGAAGCTGTGCTAACAAGTTACCGCAGAAATGAGGTTACATATAGCTGTTACCCTGTTGAAAATAATTTTAATATTCATCCAATTTTTCATTTGTCTTTCACGATAATGTGCTGAACAGTTGAAAATATCTCTCACAGCCCTTTTTTGTCAAACGCAGATCAAGTTCACAGAACTAACTTTGGATACATTCAGAATGCTACAGTGTTTGGAATGGGAGCCCACTGGGTCTTATCAGATTGCTGCTAAAGAACTTACAGAAAATGGCACTGTAAGTGATCAGAGTGGACCCTCTGGTCTGATTGATATTCACCTGTCAACAGAAATATCTGATGGAAGTCTTCCTTCAAATCCTCAAAAAGCAATCATATATCATCCTACAGCCACTCATCTTTTAGCGGTATGTGGCTACCCTGATCGTTCCTTTTCCTCTTTTAAAGTCCATCTTTTGCTTAATATTGGTAGGCACATGAACTTCTGGTAGGATTGCATACTTCCTTGTAAGAAATTATTTTTTCAGAAACATGAATGATGGCACTAGTGTTTTAGTGCTAAGGTGTGCCAATGCTCTTATTCATTAAATCATTAATATGGCAATGCTATGTGCTAATATGATTGATTTTGTCCATTATCCTGAAGTATACGTTGTGTGTGTGTGTGTGTGTGTGGGGGGCGTTCAAATTATAAGAAAGAGTACCAATTCATCATGAATCACATGCTTTTAAAGGGGATAAGTATACCTTCATAAGCATATTGTAGTAAGAAAGAAGTGGTTTTCTGGCACACCTTCAGCAGCATTGGTTTGGCAGCCTGACCCTATTCCCTCAGGCCTCAGCATGTTCTGGGTGTGTTCATACTTAGGCCTTCACTTCACCTGAAACAATATTATTATATCAGAGAAATGATGCCCCCTCCACCCCCCCTGTCTCGTACAGAACCTCATTTCCATATTACAATACAGGTTCTAGCAACAATTTGCGAAGAGCTCTCTCAAGATAGCATTTTACTCATCTATATATCAGCGTCAGGTTAGTTCTTTCTCTGCCACTTCAGTTTATGTTGCACTTTTGTTTTCAATCACTTCTGAGATTTGTGATTATCTTGTCAGGGTCCTCTGAGCAGAGTTTTGCTAGTCAAAAGCTTGGCTCGAGCTCATCATCTCGTGCAAGGGTTGCTTCTGCCTTCCCCATTGATAAGCCAAATTCACATATCTGTTCTGATAATCATCTATGGCTTGGTCCCCGTGGAAGTGGAGGCAAGCTCTATGGCAATGTTCTCTTTCAACAAAGTCCACTTACTATAGGATGGCTAGATCAGTGGATCCCTTTCTTTTAGGATGGCATACCATGCACTTGCTTATGTTGACACTATCTTCTTTCTTTCAGGTCCAAACAATCTTTATCCGGAAGATCTGATTCCATTTACAAGATATCCACTGTTCCTTGTAATTGATAGTGAAAATAGCCATGCATTCAAGGCAGGTTTGTCAGAACTTAATCTTGGCTTGTAGGAGAAAACCATTACCATCGGCACTCTTGCTTTTCTGAAGTAACATTTTAACAGATTGACATGCCACCCTTTTTTTTTCTGCACACGTGTTAATGTTCTATTGTTTCCTTTTGCATTTTAATGGTTGCATGTTCTCATTTGGTTCTCAAGGTGAACTCCTCTCCTAGTGGAAAAAATGCGAGCATTTACAATGGTTTCTTAAGCATTATTGTTATCTGGTTCTACTGGTTCGATCTATCTTTAAACATCTAAAATGTCTTTAGATGGTTTTCAGCTTGTTAACTGGTAATAGCAGAGGATAGCTAAGGACTGATTTTGTAGCATTGTGTGAATAAGCTGGAATTGTAGTTGGAGCTTGGGCGTGATTATTGTTAAGGAGCTTTCTTTTTGTATTTGCAATGTTTAGATGAAATATATGCCTCCTTTTGTACATGAAAAAAACCCCAACTTGCTTGTTAGTATGTGAACCCATCCTTAAAGTCTCCAATCTGTCTGTAGCAGTACTGCCTAACAAAATTCTTTGAGTAAATTATCATTTGGTTGTGTAATTTGCCAGGCCATACATAATGCAGAGAAGGGAGAACCAGCTGCTTTATTACTTTCTCCCAGGACATCATCAGCCATGCCTGGAGTAGAATCCACGGCTCACGGAAGCCAGTTTACATACTTCCTCACTGCTCCAATGCAAGCCTTCTGCCAACTAGCTGGAATAACTTCTGACATAGATACCGTATGTTCTCTGTTTGAGGAGTTGACTATTCCTTATTCCCTAAAAACATCATTCCTATAGTTAGATTTTTGCTGCTTGGTTTTCAGGATACGTACGCAAATGCAGAGAACATACTTTTCTCTGCTTTGGAAGAATATGAAGGAATCCTCTGCACTTCTGTTGGGTTAAACAATGTCTGGGGGCAAATTTTACCAGACCCATTTCTCAGACGGCTGATTCTCAGGTACCTTATACATATATTTTCCACATTCAAAGCTATATATATGGACATCTGGCACTTAGCTTTAACATTAATTTAGCAATGTGACTTGGAAAGGGTGTATTGGCTTCATTTTCTTAAATAATAGGTATGAAGAAAAACATTGTTACATTGCTCGCATCTCATTTGGCTAGGAAAAAATGTATAGTTTAACCCTCAATCCATCTCATTTCTACCATTTATGGACCTCAAGTCAGGTTACTCCTTCCAAAGTATGTCCAGAAAAAAGAAAAAAAAAAAAGGAAAAAGAAATGTGCATAAACAGGTTGAAAATGGTTGTCAACTTGTATATAGTATTTCCAGCAAATTGCACCAGTTTATTGTCGCTATAATATTTCTTTTACATACTTGCCTCTAAAAATGCAGTATACAAAAGAGAAGGCCCATTGAGAGTAGCTACCAAGCAAGTAATGGTCCATTAGATGCTTGGTACTGACATGTTCATGGTTGTGTAGGAGTTAGGAACCATTAACTATGCATGTTAGGGGAAAGAAGGGCTGTTGTAAATTTGTCTTTCCTTCATCAACAACCTTACGGGCGTACCCAGTGCAGAGAGCTACCGCTCTGTGCGGGGTCTGGGGAAGGGTGTCAGTGGCAAGCCTTACCCTCGCCTGTGCAATGCGAGGAGACCGCGACTCGAACCCGGGACCTTCCGGTCACAGGCGGTAAGACTCTACCGCTTGCACCAGGCCCGCCCTTCATCAACAACCTTACGGGCGATGTTAAAAAGTTCTAACAAACTTATGATGCCAGCAAAATGATTATGTTCTGGGAAAATATGATGCCGAAAAAGTAGTACAAATTTTATTTGATTTGTTCTTGACTGTTACTCCTTCCGTTCTAAATTATAAGTCGCTTTGACTTTTTGGTACACTCATTTTGCTATGCATCTAGATATCATCTAGATATAATAATATGCCTAGATACATAGTAAAATGGATGAACCAAAAAAGTCAAAGCAACTTATAATTTGGAACGGAGGGAGTATGTTTTTTGAGATGTTTATCTTCCCTTCGTAAAGGACAGGGTGCCTTTGGGTAATATATGATTGAACACATGACATTCTCTGACTTCACGTTTCTTGAAAATCCATTGATACAATTGATTTGAATATTTAGTTCTATTTTTCCTGCAGTATGAACCATTTGGAATTATGCCCTGTGCTCGCTAATTATTTTTCCCATTGCAGGTTTATTTTCTGTCGAGCAGTGCTCTTCTATTTCCACTCAGATGAGCACGAACATCTACCGACCTGCCTACCCAGTCTTCCAGAGTCAGTCTCTCCAAATGCAGAAGCCATCAGAACTCCTATCCTTTCGCTCGCAGAAAACCTTGTCGTCAGCGATCGGTTTAACTTCCGGGACTCCACACGCAACAAGAAATGATGATCAGCAGCAATAACCATAACTCATGCCTTCTGTAGATACCTCCGTGGTAGATATAGTCCAGCAATTTGTTGATTGTTTTGCATTTATACAGCCAACGTAGCAATGACTCAGCACCAACTAGCAGCTGCTGCAGAAGTTTGGTGTGAACTGAATGGCGATATGAAGAATTTTGACCTGCTGCTTCATCTCCGTGGAGCGTCTGTACAAGTTTGGTTAGGTGTTTCTAATTTGCTCTAGGCATTGTAGGCATGTAGACTTGTCTCCGAATTTTTTTTTTTTTGGTTGTTGTCTTGGAGAGGACGGTTTGTAAGCTGGAAGAGGCGTTTTTAAGTACTCTGGAAGGCAGATTGTTTTGTAGGGTTTGGTTAGCTCAGCATATTTTACGGCAGTTTACGATATCCAACCTTCATTGCACTACGTTTGCCTCGTGCTCCCCTTTTGTAATTGTTTGTTGTTCTGGTTCAAAATTGCTCAGCCTCGTTCGGTCTGCCAGCTCTTTCTTTCCGGTGTCAGTTTCATGGATTGGTAATCAGAACGTGCCTAAAGTTCGACCAGGTACAGTATCATCCAGTTAGGCCCTGTTTGGTTTACAGAAAGAACATAGGAGAAACAGAGGAATGCAGTTCCTATAGTTTTTTTTACTGTAGCAGCGTTTGGAATACGGGAACGAGCACCAAACTTTCCTCCGGAACAGCGTGCCCGAGCACTAATCAAGCTCGTAGAGTTGTCATTCAGAGCTGACTGGTTTGGGGTGAGAGAAAAATACTATTTTCGGCTGAAAATTTACGATCATTTACGAGCAAACGAACAGGCTGATAATTCTTCCTATGCTACTTATGGGGCCCTCTTCAATGCTTTTATTTGATATATACTCTCTCTCCCCCGTTAAAAGAGACTTTTTCGGAGTGGGTGGGAGTACCAAGGAAGATGCAAAATGACCCTGCATGCCCCCCTATTACTGGTTCACAGAGGACATCAATGCTCCGGGTAGTGCTGTTCCGCTGCACTATTTCAATAGTATTTTTTAATTAATAAATAATATTTTTTTATAATAAATCAGTATAAGAATCAGCGTAATCAAGTATTGCCATGAAACTGTGGGGGCCTGAAACCAGCGACTCAGTCATTTCAAATCGTACACTAGCTGTGGGTGCACATGAAGCTTTTAATCATTACAGGTGGAGCGACCTGCCTAGCTGTGGGGGCATGGTAGCCCGTCGACTCACTTTGCGGGACAAAGATTCAAGGCAAGAACGTCAGTATTTTTGAACGGAGGGAGTACGTACTAGATTTATAAAAAGAAAAAATATTTACTGTTAATTTTAATTTAAAGCATTGAGTTTCCAGCTAACTCTAAAATTCCTATATCAGTTATGTTTCCATGTTCCAAGCACATGTTCCTATAAAATTCTTATGTTTTTCAATCATTTGTTTTACATCTTTATTCTTTTCCTATTCATCTGTTTTCTCCGATTTCTATTTTTCGTTTCTTTGTTCAAACATGCCCTTAACGTGGATAAATGAGTCATGAGTGAAATGAAGCTATATAGATGCCAAAGTTTACAACCTGTGTGCCAATTCTATGACGATGGTGGTTGAATTCAGAATCCCAGTTTCGGTGTTTTCCCGCTTGCCATGTGGTGGGCTCTTGCAGTTCCCAGCTCCAACGGTACAAAATTCTCTGGTATGACTGTATCAAGATCATTCTGAACCGAATGTAAGACAGTTTACTTTAACCATAGTTTCAGTAAGAGTAAAATACACCGGAGTTTCGTTAACTTTTGTTGGGATGTCATTTATGTCCATCAATTTTTAAACTACTTTTTTTATCATGAACTTTTAAAATATTTCATTACGAGGTCATACATATTTATTTAATCTTAAATTCAAAGTACATTTATAGAAAACTCATACCTTTCTTTATTTTCTACGCGCTCACCCTTTCTGCTCAACGGTCAACGCCGCTCAGTCCGGCCGAGCCGTCGGCGACGACCGCGCCTTCGCGCGAGCGTTCTGCTTCGGCGAGCGTCGCGGGTCCTCCCCCAGCGACTGCTTGAAATGCCTTGCCGCTGCCGCCCAGGACGTCGCCGACGGATATCACGGACGCCGCGGGGCGGTCTGGCGCACCGGCTGCTTCCTGTGGTACGCGGACACCAACGCGTCCACGGCCCACGAGGACGCGTGGCGCGGCTGGTTCTACGACGATGACAGCGACGACACACTGACCGCGGCGCTGGGGACGTGCGTGGCGAACCGCACCGCGGTGGAGTGCTCCCGGTGCCTGAACGAGTCGGCGCAAGTGGTTCCAGCGCTGAAGGAAGGGAGGCAGCTGTCGTTGGTCCACGGCGACGTGGTGGTGGTCGTCGGCTACTCCTGCTACCTGCGCGTCCCGTTATCCCCTACAAAGATACGGTGGCCGGTGTGGGTGAACTACGGTGAGATGAAGGCGCTGTGCGGCCAGGCCGCAGCGGCGCGGCGCTCGACGAAGGCGAAGATGGGCTGGCAGAACACCTGGTACGCGCCGACGAGGTGCACGACGATGGCGACGTTGGCGACGTCGAGCAGCCAGAAGGGCTCGTAGAAGCCGAATCCCGTGAGGAGGTTGTCCGGCGCGGCGTCGCCGAACGCTGCGTACCCCATGCACCCGCACAGCATGTAGAAGATGGTCGTGGTCGCCACGCTGAGACGCGTCGCCTTCTGCATCACCTTCGACTCCGACGGTGGCGGGGCCTTGATCGTGTCCTGGAGAAACAGAGCAACGTTGATTAGGAACAGAGCAATCTCTGGGTGATGGAAACAGAGGAGAGCTCTATAGAGGTCTTGATGCTTACTTGAATTTCGATGAGGATGTTGGAGAAGGAGTAGGCGAAGGTGATATCGCCGAAGGCCTGCAGGCTGTGCCAGACCTTCTGTGTGGAGGTGACGCCGGCACCGATGCTGATGCCGGTCAGGCTTCCCTTGAACCCACCATTAGCTGCAACAGTTGAAACAACCGTTTAGTAACTGAACTGAGCAACGAAATGACACCATGAATTAATATTTCTTGACAAGCCGGATTGAAGGAATGAAGGACTTACAGATGGTCTGTGCGATGCCGAAGGAGAGTCCGATGGAAGAATAGGTGAAGGACATGACGGCAGCGACGATGGAGAGCCACGAAATCTGATCGAAGTCCGGTATCTGCGAGAAGACGATCTGCACGGCACCAAAGACGATCATGTACGGGATGCTGGAGCTGCTACACGGTTCAGCATGCCCGTGGGTGTGGAAGCATCCAGCCCTCCTGATGGCCTTCATGCTGATGGACGACGCGATGGTGTACCCGATGGCGACGCCGACGAGGTTGGCGTACTGGATCACGCCGCAGAACCCGACTTTCGCGCCGCCAAGGTTGGAGCGCACGGCGTCCATGTAGGTGTAGTTGCGCTTCCCCGTCTCCGGGTCGCCCGTGCGGTAGCAGTCGGCGAGCAGCGTGGCCGTGTAGTAGGTGACGAAGGCGAAGAGCAGCATGGCGGCCGGGCCGGCCACCCAGCCGAGCTGCGCGATGGCCCAGGCCAGGGAGAGCACCCCGGAGCCGATGACGGCGGTGATGATGTGCGCGCTGGCCGTCCAGAACGTGCCGGCGCGCTGGGGCAGGCCGTCGACGTCCAGCCACGCGGCCTCCCCGGCGTTCCCGGCCTCCACGGTGACCTCCATCGGCGCCACGCGGTTGGTGCCTTCGTGTGCCGCCATGGATCAGCCCAACCGGTCGAGCTCCCTCTCTCAGAGCGTGAGGACTGAGGAGGCTGGCTGGCTAGCTGTGAGGCGTGTGGTAGTGAGTTTTCTGTGAATGTAGTTTGGATTTAAGGTTAAATAAATATATATGAAACTATAGTGAATCATTTTAAAAGTTTATGGACCTAAATATACAGTTACAAAGTTGATGGATCTAAATAACACTCTCTCGAAAATTAATAGACCTCCGATATATTTTATTCTTTCAGTAATTATTGACTAAGTTGCATAGCCTTGAGAGATACCTCACATGGAAAATAGACCGTGTCCGGACTTGAAGCGACCAAAAGCTTCGCCTATGCCAGTCGTTTTGTGTGTAGTTTCGTGACGGTGTCCGTATGAATCCACACGGGCACTGGGCAGACGGCGGATGCTTCTGGTAGCCGCGAGCAAGCGGTGCACGCACGCGCGTCGGCACGCAAGGGAGCCAGCTGGGCGCTTGCCCCTTGTAAAGCCAGCGTAGCCCACGGTTTGTACCGCCGGTAAACGTACTTCCCCCTACGGCCCCCTACCCTTGAATTCTCTCTTCTCGCAGCCTCGGTACACACGTGCCCGCCTCGTGACATAAGGGTCCGGCGGTGACAGGCTGACAGCGCACGCCATGGACGGTGACCGGAGCGAGGTGCAGCGGCTGTACGACGCGTGCGGCGCCGTGTTCTCGCCGTGGAGGGGCGGAGGGCTCCCGACGCTCACGCAGATCAGGTGGCTGCAGGTGCAGGACATCCTCGGTACGTCTCACGACCTCATCGTGCAGTCGTGCGTCGCCGTCGCGTCTTGGGGCTCCATCGGGGTATGGCCACAGGCCACATGAGCATTCCGTCAGTATTTTGTTCCTCGCACGCAGACGGGATGAAGGCGGCCGACGTCGGGATCGACGCCGGCGGCGGAGATGGCGAGAGGTCCTCCTCCTCTTCGGGCGGCGAGAGGAGCCCGCGGGGGCGGCGGTTTCTCTCGGCGCGGGCGTTCACGCGGATCACCTACGTGCACATCCACGAGTGCGACGATTTCTCGGTACGCGCGCCCGTTTTTCTTCTTCAGAAGATGAAGATGGCCTGCCTGTCTGATGGTTTCGGCCCGGCCGGGTGGCGCTGGTGTTTTGCAGATAGGCGTGTTCTGCTTCCCGGCGGGCGCGACGCTGCCGCTGCACGACCACCCGCAGATGGCGGTGCTGAGCAAGCTGCTCTACGGCTCCATGCGCGTCAGCTCGTACGACTGGGTCACCGCGCCGTGCTCCGGCCCAAGAAAGGGTAAGGCTAGCGTGCTGCCTCGCTTCGAATTCGGCTTCTCTTGGCCAGTTGAGTTTGTCATTGTACATATCGATAATAAGACAGGTATAAAAGTCTCAGGATACTTACGCAAGCCTGCAAAGTTTTTCGTGACTCGGCATGAAACATGAAAGGGATCCCAACATGAAACGGCGTAAGCCATGGGCTGTGGAAAAATGCAGAGCTGTGCAGCTGGCGCTCCTGCTGGTTGCGGTTACGAGCTCACGAAACAACTGCACAGCTAGTAGTATTCTGTGTATCTGACGTTATTATTCTACTACGAAAAGAAAGTACGTGACGGTATTCCACTGCTCAATCCAAAAGTCCGCCCTGTTTTGGGATAAGGGTGACAGGGTGTGTAGAATAAATAAAGAAAGAATGAAAAATATAGTGAAAGAGATGGATAAACCAAGTGAGCTATTTGACGTGCTAGGCTAGGCACACTGATAAGTTGAGTTCACGCGTGCAGGCGGTTTAGCCAAGGTGGTGGCGGTGGACGAGCTCCGGGAGGCGCCGTGCAAGGCGTCGGTGCTGTTCCCCCGGAGCGGCGGCAACATCCACGCCCTCACTGCCGTCACGCCGTGCGCTCTCCTCGACGTGCTCGCGCCGCCGTACGCGGAGGACCTTGGGCGCCCGTCCACCTATTTCTGCGACACCCCTATTCCTGCTCTCCCAGGTACGCACCTACATGCATATGTATCATGTATGCCAGACCCTTTTATTTTTATGTCGATAATACCGTAATGATTTCTTTCGCCTCCTGTTTTGCTAAGCCGTACAAGTCTCTAAAGAAGTGACGACGATGATACCATCTTTAATCCGTTCAGGTTTTGCAGTACTGAAAGAGGCACGCCTGCCTGAGGATTTTCGTGTTGTAGGCGCCCCATATGTAGGGCCCGAGCTCGCGGTAGATATGGACTTGTCTGATGATGTCTAGATAGCTCACTGTTTTTTCTGAAGTGGCAACGTGCAAGTTGTGTATCTCTGGAGAATGCATTGTGACATTGTGTGTCGTGTCTTTTCCTTGTAAATACTTCCACTCCGCAGTTCATTCTGAGATTTGTCTTTGTTTGAATCTGTCTAGATAGCAATTGGGTGATCCCAGCATAACCATCACTTTTTTTACTCTTAAAGCATCTCCGAGAGTATCATATTTTTTTCTCCCAAAAACATGTAGTTTTGCAACTACTAAAAATGTATTGGTAGGAAAAAAGAAGACCATCTCCAAGAGCTTCTAATAATCCACTCATAAACGATAGAAGACAATTTTACATAAAAAATACTATGTTATTTCTAAATTATCGTAACCATTTTTATATATTCTCTCTCTCGTACATTTGCATCAGGAATATTTTCTAACTTCTTATTCTTTCCCACACCCTTCCACCTTTAGATTCATCGATACGCACGGGATCCGCGCCGCTACTACGCTCAAAGTTACGCGCGACGGGGGAGGATTTCCCAAGTGTGTAAATTTTAGGAGCATGGATTAGGAGTTGTTGAAGAGATGTTTTTTTTCTCATCTTGCTTAAAACAAGGATTGGGAAGGAAAATAGGGTACTCATGGAGATGCTCTTATTAGATATAAAATGGAGGGTCTAGATCAAATCTCCTCTCTTCACTTAATCTTTTCCCTTTCTTCTTCCTCTCCACGTGTCTATGCCCAACCCCGATCTCGAGTCTCGAACGAGTCGCTTGCCCCGCCGCCTCTGCCTCCTACTAGCCCGGTTCCGGTGGCTCCCCCGCCCCCGAATCCGTCACCCTCCACCATGACCCGACTCTAAAATCCATAGGATGTGTCTCCTCTCCTCCATCTTCTTCATCTCAAGCGGAGCTCCACCACCACCATCGCGTCCCGCCCGGCTCTGGTGGCGCCTCACAGCCTTCGCTGCCGCCTACAATCGCCGCCATGCTAACCCGGTTGAGGTCACTAGGCAATCTCCGTCATGCCCCTGCCCTTGCTCCACCCAACCGCCTTCTCCAACTGCCCAGCCGGCAGTGCTACCATGGCCTCGCCCCATGCCACCCCTATGCCCACCACCATCGTTGAGCCAGCTTTCTCCCATAGCAATCCTTCTAAGCCCACCGGAGTTAGAAAAGAAGAACACGTGGCACTTTTTGACTGGAAAAAAAAATTCAAGTTAGCTTTACTCCTTTCTTAAGGGCTTGTTTGGTTCGCTGCTAGAGTTTGCCACACTTCACCAAACATTTCCTATTTTTACTTATATATATCATTTTGTTTCCAAGAGTTATACCAATAGGATTACTGTATGCAATCGTGCTCGTGCCCTGTGTTTTAATCAAATTGATCAGCAGAATAAGCTAAACACATGATGTAACTTTTGGCTAAGCTACCGTCATCATATTATAGGCAATGTCTCAATTATTTCCCACATCAGCAATGAGCGCAGCTCAGGCACCACGACCATAGGTAGGCGCAAAACTTACACTGTTACACACGACCAAAAAACAATGCATGTCAACATATTAGTACCATATATCAGGGCTCGATCTCTTCTGAATCACCACCCTCACCGGAGCTCAGATGTCGACGACTCGGGACGCCACCGGCGAGCAGTTAGCAACGCGGCAGTTGCGCCGTATCTCCCCTTTCCTGGGGTTTTGCAGCTCCCCCATCTTGATCATCCCCTCGATGAAGGCCCTGAAGAAGGCGACCTGGTCCTCGCTGAACCGCTTGACGACGCGGCGGGTCCTGGCGTTGTCAGAGAAGAGCGTCTGGTCGGAGTTGAGGAAGCCGCGGAGCGCGACGAGGTCCTTGAAGTACTGGTTGTCGAAGACGCGCGGGGTGGCGTCCAGGCCTCCCGTGACCTCCTCGTCGCCGCCCTTGGGGCAGAGCGCGTCGAGCGCGCGGCGGTAGGCGGCGTCCATGTGGGGGTCGGGGCGGCCGGATCCGGACTGGTTGTAGAGACGGAAGACGATGGAGAAGCAGCGGGCCTCGCCGATGGAGTGCGAGCCCGAGAGCGCGACGAGGTCGGTGACGCTGAGGTTGAGCCCCGCGAAGAGGCGGATGAGCGCGCTCGCGTTGGCGCGCGGGCTCGGCATGATGTTGTCCGAGTCCTCCTGGCTCGCCGTCAGGCTGTCGTCGCGCCCGAGCCGCACCTCCCAGTTGGGCCCACCGGTCTGTGACGACAGATCAAAACAAATGGAAGAGTCAGATGAAGTCAAACGACCTGACCCAACAGTCTCAAGTTTGAATACACACATACAAAAAAAATATTTATAATGAGCAATAACTAGTACGTACTAGATTATTCACAAATTTTTTTATAATAAATCTATTTGAAGATATAATATTAATATCTCTTATTTTTTATAAACTTAGTTAAATTTAAAATTGTTTAATATATCGAGACTTCTATTCTTTTTTGATGGAGGGGTAGGTCCAACATTATATATAGTAAGCCAATGCAAACTATTTACTGACCCTTAGTTAAATTTAAGATTGTTTTATATATCGAGACTTCTATTCTTTTTTGATGGAGGGGTAGGTCCAACATTATATATAGTAAGCCAATGCAAACTATTTACTGACAATAATGGTGATGGATGGCGCAGCATTCTTATGATCTCGCTTTTCTTTGCCTCACAAAAAATTTGGAAACAAAATAAGAGTGCACGACTACCAGAGTACCAGGAGCGTACAGGCCCACCGCCCATAGCGTGCCACACCCAATTAAGGCTTTAAGCAGGCCTTTTATTAGGTCATCCCCTAAAGTTTACTCCATGTCTCATCGGATGTTTAGACACATGCATAGAGTATTAAATATAGACTAAAAAATAACTAATTGCACAGATTGCGACTACTTTGCGAGACGAATCTTTTAAGCCTAATCAGTCCATGATTTGACAATGTGGTGCTACAGTAATAAATGTGTTAATGGCGGATTAATTAGGCTTAATAAATTCATCTCGCGGATTGCTGACGGATTCTGTAATTTATTTTTTTATTAGTATCCAAACACCTCATGTGACATCAACACCCCAAAACTTTACACCCTGGATTTAAACAATGCCTAAGTATACTAAGTCCACTCAAAATAAAAAAGCTAAGTATACTACGACCATTTTCTCAAAAAAAGACGGATACTCATGAACCAATATTTCAGTAGCAAGTACAGTACTCCTACATTTCATTCCAAGGAACATCGACACGTTTTGTACTAGTATTACGTAGGTTACGTAGTAGTACTACTATACTATGATATCTCCTGCACCAATCAATCCCGTTGAACCACCTGTCGACTGTCTACTCGCCAAGGGAACAAGAAGAGCAAAGTCGTAGTACACCCAGCGTCCCAGCCTGGGAGCCACAAGGGGCATGGGCGCATGGGCATCGTCGCTTGTTTCCACGCCGCGATTCGAACCTTCGTGAGGACCAAGGGAAAGCACGCGAAAAGTACTTCTGTTCCACGGGGAAATCTCGTCCCCATCATCATCGCCCAATCTGGGAGAAACAGAATCCCCACCTCGGCGACGGAAGGGCCGGCAGCTTTGCCATTCGCGGCGCCAGTGGCCGCACCCGCGGGGCCCGGTGCGGGCTGTCCGCGCTAAACGCCGAAGCCTAGCAACACTCTCGTGTCGTGCGCGCGGCGGATCGGGCCTGGCCTTTCCCGGCTGGTTTGGTGACCGTGCGGTGCGGCCGTTCCCCGGGTAAGTGCACCTGGTCTGGTCTGGCCGTCTGGGTCTCCGGCGCTCTCCCTGTCTGCAGTCTGCCAATGGCCATGAGGGAGGGAGGTGGTGTGAGGTGCACGCGACGCGAGCGGAGACGGGTTAGGCGCGTGATGCCAGTCCTGCATGTGCGCCTCATGCCCGCCGCCGCCGCGGCGGTTACAGGGAGCACCTAGCTGGGAATGGGATGTGCACCGTTCATGCATCGCCAGGCAACATGGTCAGTGCTAGGCAAATGATTGTGAACCGGTCCGCCAATTTGCACATCAAATGTTTTTGGTGTAAATTTTGAAAGCATCAATTGATTTTTCCTATAAAAACTAGTAGGAGCATACTGTAGATTGATAAAGATTGTACTATAGTAAAACGGAACGATGCATGCTTGGTCGTGGACTCGTGGTGCCCACACGCAAAGTGATGGGGGTGGCACCAACGATACTTGCGGACAATCCTCGAATGCCCATTTTGTACGCACTTGAACGTTCCCCAGGACTTGGAAGCCCAACGCGACGCGAGACTAGTGGCACGAAAGGCGTTCCGAAGAACGCGACACGAGGCTAGTGGTGCAAAGGCCTTGTGCGGCACACGCCGCCTTGGTTGTCGAGCAGCACGACACGAAGCACCCGTGCGCGCAGCGCTGCCGTTGTGGTAAGACCAAATCGTGAAAAAACTTTCCTAATTGATATTTCTTCTCTTGTCCCTTATTCACGGTGGATCCTGAAACTGAATGCTGCGGGAACACGATCAACGCCGAGTTCTGCACTGGAAACGCCAGGCAGCGAAACACTGGGTTCTGGAGTGCAAACGGCAGACAAAGGGGACGCGGATTTGAACCGGAAACGGCAGGCAAAGCGGAAGCGAACGCTGGGTTTCGCACGGCAAACGGCAGGCCGCAGTAAGAGATTAAGAGAAACGGCATGCGCATCGGCATCGCAGGGTGCGGGGGAGGCGCGTACCAGGACGACGGCGTCGCGGGCGGCCATGATGACGATGTCGGCGCAGGAGACCACGCCGGGGCAGCGCTCCTCCAGCGCCTCCTTGATCTCGTCGACGACCTCGAACGAGCGCAGGGAATCGATGTTGGACAGCGCGTCCTTCTCGCCGGGCATCGTCGGCGTGGCGTCCATCAGCACCGAGCCGTCGCACCCCTGCAGCCGCCCCCGCCGCCACCGGGAAGGAAAAACAGAGAGAATGAACCCATCGCGTCAGATCGGCTGCGGACGGAAGGAAAGCCACGTAGTAGTGCAA